TGAAATTTCTTTTTGACCCATGGGTTATTGAGAGATATATTTATTAATTTTCAAACATATGTAGATTTTCTAATTAAGTTTTTGTTCTTAAATAGTGCCTTATTTGCATATGATGTAGAAAAGGTCTGTGTCATTTCAGTCCTTTGAAATTTATTGAGACTTGGCTGGTATTTATAATATCTTAAATGTTTTATATGTACTTGAAAAGAATGTATAGTCAGTGTCTGTTCTCTATAGGTCATTTAGGTCAAATCTTTTTTCTGTGTTTGTCTGCTTGCTCTATCAGCTAATGAAAAAAGTATGTCTAAATCTCCCACTAGGAGTTTGAATTTTTCTATTTGCTTTATGTATTTAGAGGCTATGTTATTAGGAGCTTACAAAATTAAGTTTGGTTATATCTTCCTTATAAATAAACTTTTTGTCATCATTAAATGTTCTTCAATATCTCTAATAATGCTTTTTGCCTTAAAGTCTACCTTGGTATTAATATAGCGGCACTAGCTTTCTTTTGGTTAGTGTTTACATGGCATATGTTTTTCTGTTGTTTTGCTTTTAGCCTTTCTATGGCTTTAGATGTATTCTTGTAAATAACAAATAGTTGAATCTGCTATTCAGTTTGATAATTTCTGTCTTCTAATTGGAATCTTTAGTCCATTTATACTCACTGTAATTAATAATATCATTTTAACAAGTGCTTTTCATTTGTCCCATATATTTTAAGTTCCTTTTTCCCTTTTTTTTTTTTTTTTGTATTTCTGGGATTGACTACTTTTTATTTTCCTTTTTATCTTCCATTAACTTGAAAGTCATGCCTTTTATTATTCTTTTAGTGGTTATCCTAGAGATTACATGATGCAGCCTTATCAAAGTCTAATAGAAATTTGTGCCTTTATACCATCTTCCTGGACAATGCAGGGACCTTATTTTATCTTCTTGGGGGATATTGTAAATGGTATTGATTGGAAGTTCTCTTTGTTGGTGTAGAGGATTCCAACTGATTTTTGTATGTTTCTCTTGTATCCTGATACTTTGCTGAAATCTTCTATTAGTTCCAGTAGTTTTCTTGTGGATTCTTTGGGGTTTTCTGTGTATAAGATCATATCATCTGTGAATAGAGCTACTTTTACTTCTTCCTTACCAATTTGGATTCCCTTTATTTCTTTTTCTTGCCTTATTGCCCTGGCTAGGACTTCCAGAACAAAGTTGAATAAGAGTGGTGATAAAGGGCATCCTTGTCTGGTTCCCATTCCCAAGGGGAATGCTTTCAGATTCTCTCCATTTAGGATGATGTTGTCTGCTGGCTTTGTATAAATATCCTTTATTATGTCAAGGAATTTGCCTTCTGTTCCTATTTTGCTGAGTGTTTTCATCACGCGTGGGTGTTGGACTTTGTGGAATGCCTTTTCTGCATTGATTGATAAGATCATGTGGTTCTTTTGTTTTATTTATGTGGTGGATTACGTTGATTGTTTTTCTAATGTTGAACCATCCATGCATTTCTGGTATGAATCCCACTTGGTCATGGTGAATTATTTTTTGATATGTTGCTGAATTCTATTGGCTAGAATTTTGTTGAGGATTTTTGCATCTATGTTCGTGAGGGATTGGTCAGTAATTTTCTTTTTTTGTGGTGTCTTTACCTGGTTTTGGTATCAGTGTTATGCCAGCTTCATAGAATGAGTTTGGGAGTATTCCATCCTCTTTATGCTCTGAAATACCTTTAGTAATAGTGGTGTTAACTCTTCTCTGAAAATTTGGTAGAATTCTCCAGTGAAGCTGTCAGGGCCAAGGGTTTTTTGTTGTTGTTGTTGTTGTTGGGTGTTTTTTTATTACCTCTTCAGTCTTTTCTTTTGTTATAGGTTTATTTAATTTTTCTACCTCAGTTTGTGTTAGTCTATGTAGGTAGTGTATTTCTAGAAATTTGTCCATTACCTCTAGGTTTTCAAATTTGTTGGAGTACAGTTTTTCATAGTATTCTGTCATGATGCTTTTTATTTCAGTTGGGTCTGTTGTGATATCGCCCATCTCATTTCTTATATGGGTTATTTGCTTCCTCTCCTGTTTTTCTTTTGTCATTTTGGCCAGTGGTTTATCAATTTTGTTGATCTTTTCAAAGAACCTGCTTTTGGTCTTGTTGGCTCTTTCAGTTGTTTTTCTACTCTCTATTTCATTTATTTCTGCTCTAATTTTTATTATTTCCTTTCTTCTGGTGCCCAAGGGCTTCTTTGGCTGCTCTGTTTCTATTTGTTCTAGTTGTAAGGTTAATGTTTTGATTTTGGCCCTTTCTTCTTTTTGGATGTGTGCATTTATTGTTATAAACTGACCTCTGAGCACTGCTTTTGCTGTGTCCCAAAGGTTCTGGTAAGATGTGTTTTCATTCTCATTTGAGTCTATGAATTTCTTTATTCTGTCCTTGATTTCTTCTATAACCCAGTAATTTTTGAGCAAGGTGTTGTTTGGTTTCCATGTGTTTGATTTTCTTCCTTGCTTTTTCTGTTATTGATTTCTACTTTTATGGCTTTATGGTCAGAAAAGATGCTTTGTAATATTTCCATGCTTTGGGTTCTGGTAAGGCTTGCTTTATGTCCTAATATGTGGTCTCTTCTGGAGAATGTTCCATGTGCATTGGAAAAGAAAGTATACTTGGCTGCTGTTGGCTGGTGTGTTCTGTATATGTCTATGAGATCAAGTTGGTTGATTGTGGCATTTAGATCTTGTGTGTCTTTACTGAGCTTCTTTCTAGATGTTATGTCCTTCACCGAAAGTGTCCCTATCCCCTAAAGTGCGTAGGTGAGTGGGTATGCAGCTGGACTTTGGGCACCCAGTGCTGTTGGCTGTAAGGACTGGAAGGCACCGGTTATTCTCAGACCCATGTAATGGGTAGCAGGGTAGAGTGGGTGGAGCTACAGTCCTCAGGCCCCTGATGTGAGTAGGTGAGGACCCTGTTTAATGGGCAAGGCAGTGTCAGATGTCATGAATCTGCCACTCCGCCTTAGCTGATGCAGTTGAAAATAGACTTCAGGTATATACCCTGTTGTACTATGCTAAAGAGGGCTTACAATGTTGAATGAGACCACACAGGTCTAATCAGGGGTGAAAAGCATTCAAAGTCCGTGAACCCCTTATGCCAGTGCCTAGGCAAAGGGGCAGTGCCTACCCTGAGTTCCCAGCCTAGGGGAGCTGGTGGTTTCTTTTTTCCTGTTTGTTCGTTTGTTTATTTGTTCCCTCCCCAAAGCTGGGAGACTGACACGACAGGTCCCACTTCCAGCCTAGGGGGCAGGGCAGCCACTGAACACTGCTGGACCAGGACCAGAGCAGAGTGGGGAGGGGGCGAGTGAGAGGAAGAGAGGCACTTCCCAGAGGGGGAAGGGTTATTTGATCCCACTCGGTAGGTTAGACACTTGCATTTAACTTTTCCTGATCCAGCACCACTTCCCCCAGTTCTGGAGGTTTATGCAGACTCTCCGATGCTCGGTTTCTCTTGATGTGGAAAACGTGTCCTGAATGCTACTGCTTGCCTCAGCCTGCGTGTTCCAAATGATCCAGCCTGTAGGGTGCCTGCCAGGTCAGGTCTGGCACTTGCTCACTGCTTCTGGACTGTCCTTTCCCTCCTCCTGCTCCTCAATCTGACTTCTCAACTTTGTCTTTGATGTTCAGGGCTCCTAGATTGTCATGTATAATCAGTTCATTTGTTTTTTAGGGTCTTTGTTGTAAGAGGGACCACAGGAAGCATTTGACTGTTCTACCATCTTGGCCCCATGCTCCAATGCAAAGACTTACTCCGTTTACCCATCCTCCTGACTTACATGATATTGTTGTCATATATTTTAATTCTCTGTATATTTTTTCTGTATGTAGTTTTGACTAAATAAGACATTATTGTTTTGTAAAGTCAGTATTCATTTATATTTCCTCATATAGGTGCCATTTTTATTGCTCTTTATTCCTTCTGAATTTCTGGGGATCTTTTTCATTTGTATCTGGGATCTTTTTCATTTCACTAAAATAAACATCCCTAGTGTTTTATTTAAAGTATACCTTCTGGTGATTAATTCTCCCAATTTTTCTTTGTCTGAAAATGCCTTTATTTTACCTTAATTCCTTCATTTTCTGAGTATGAAAATTGACACTTGAAAGATATCAAGTGCATTCTGTTGTAGTTTCCATTGTTTCTGTTGAAAAGTCAACTGTCAGGTTAATTTCTGCACTTTTAAAGCTAATATGTCTCATCCCAAGGCTCCTTTTAAGATTTTCTTTGCCTTTGGTTTTCAGCAATGTTACTGATGTGCCCATATGTGGATTTTTTAAAATTTACTCAACTTGGGATTCATAAAGCTTATCAAATTTGTGGCTTTATGTATTTCACTTATTTTGGAAAAATCTCAGCCATTCTCTTCAAATATTGCTTTTAACATTTAATATAGTCTCTCTCTTTCTTTTCCTCTCTCTCTAACTTATTTGTTGTGGAAATATAATTACATGTAAACCTTCTCAGTGAACTCTTTTTCTTTTACCTTCTCCTCTGTGTTTTCCATCTTTTTGTCTCTCTCTGCTTTGTTCTGAATGTTTTTGTCTGATTTATCATGTGTAAAACTGTAAAATTGTGCTACCATTTTCAATAGAATCCTATCTTTTGTGAGTTTGTATTACTAACCATATTTTTGAGTGCTATGCTCTAACCTCATTTTTCTGATAAGCCTGTGGTTTTTGCTGTATGATTTTACAGAGTACAGTGATTTTTAGAAGCATATGTTGCAGTATAGCAGAACTAGGTGTATTTGGCAATTTCCATAATAGAATGTTTATAAAGAAGAAAATCCTGGAACAACTTGTATAAGATATGAATTAATGCTTCTTCAAAAATTGATATCCTCTCATATAAAACCACCTAGGCCAAGGAATTTGGGAAGGGAAGTTTTCTTACTACCATTTTAATTTCTTAAATTTTTGTTGGTTCAAATTTTCTTTTTGCCAATTTACCATTTTATATACATTTTTAGGAATTTATGCATTTTATCTAGGCTTTCAGATTCAGAATTGAATGAAAAACTAAAGCTACAACCATACCTAGCGGGAAAAGTATCAACCTTAAAATGCATCAGCTAGAAAAGAAGAGAGACTGAGTTTTAGTTCGGGAAGGACAAAACCAAAGAAGATGCTCAGGTATAAAGGAAAAAATTAATAAATTTAATAACATTAAAATATAAAACTGTGCTTCAAAAGACCTTTTAAACAATATAAAAAGGCAAGTCACAGACTAAGAAAGATATTTGCTGTATCTTATAAATGGCAAAGAGTTAGTGTAACGAATATGGAAGGAACGTCTAAAAATGGATAAGACAGAGACAACTCATAATAAAAATGAGCAAATGATATGTATAGGTATTTCTTAGGAGAGGAACTTAATTGTCAATAAATATATGAACAAATTCTCAACTTCACTGACAAAAGAATCAACATGAGAAACATTCATACCCTTCAAATTGACAAACATTTTAAATGTGAACACCAAGTACTGGTAAGGATATGCAGGGATAAGAATTCTTACACATTGCTGATGGGAGTGTAAATTTATACAGGCACTTTAGAGAGTACTTTGGCAATATTTAGTGAAGTTGAAGATAATTATACTTTACTCCCACTTCTCTGTGTGTATCCTAGATAAGCCATCTAATATGTGCATGAGGAGACAGCTGTGTGCTGATTGGTGCTTCAAGATTTGGATATACCCCAGGAACACATGGAAAAAGCAGAGGTAAAAAGGATACATGTAATAGAATAACACTTAGGTAAATCTGCAAACCACAAATAGTAGTACCCATAAAAATATAAATGTGGCTTAGATGTAGACATATTTAGTAAAATTATAGAAAATGCATGAGGAGCAGAATACAGAACAATTTAAGCACAGAGATTTACTTCTGGAGAGGACTATAGGGAACCAGCATGAGAGGCGGGGCTTCAGCTGTATCTGTAATGTTTTGAAAAATCAGTACCAAATATGGCAAAATATTAACACTTGTTTAATATCTGTGACCACAACTGTGGTGGCTTGTGTGTTACTGTGATGCTAGAAGTTATGCCACCAGTATTTCAAATACCAGAAGGTGAACAGGTTTCAGCAGAGTTTCCAGACTAAGACAGACTAGGAAGAAAGGCCTGGCAATCTACCTTCAAAAATTAGCCAATGAAAACTCTATGGATCATAGCAAAACATTTCTGATATAGTGCTAGAAGATGAGCCCCCTAGGTTAGAAGGCACTCAGGATATTCAGTGGCTGCAGTAATGGACTGAAGCATACTAACAATCTTGAAGATGGCGCAGGAGCAGGCAACATTTTGTTTTATTGTGCATGGGTAGCTGCCTTAGTTATCTAGTGCTGCTATAACAGAAATAACACAAGTGGGTGGCTTTAACAAACAGAAATTTATTTTCTCACAGTTTAGGAGGCTAGAAGTCCAAATTCAGGGCTCTGGCTCTAAGGGAAGGCTTTCTCTCTCTGTCAGCTCTGGTCCTTGTCTCTTTTCAGCTTCTGTTCCTCAGTCCCTGGGTGATCTTCATGTGGCTTGGCATCTATCTCCCCCGGCCCTATCTCTGCTTGCTTCTCTGTGCTGAATGTGCTCCTTTTATATCTCAAAGGCTTAAAACACAATCTGCAATGATATGGCCTCATTAACATAACAAAGAAAGCTGTATTCCAAAATGGGATTACAACCACAGGTGTAGGGGTTAGGATTTACAGTACATAATTCAATCCATGACAGTAGCCGTGAGTCAAAGCTGACTGAACAGCAACTAACAGCAACAGCATCATACTTAAAGACTGAGCACTCTCCCCATAAGGTCAGAACAAGACAAGGATGTTCTTGCTACTGCTGTTCAATATTGTACTGGAGAGCCAAGGCAATTTGGCAAGAAAAAGAAATAGACAGCATCCAGAATAGAAAGGAAGAACTAAAACTATCTCTATTAATAGAGACATGTTCGTATATAGAGAAAATCCTAAAAAATCCACACAAAAAATTTAGAGCTAATGAACAAATTAAGCAAAGTTGCAGGATACGAGAAATCAGTTGTATTTCTATACACTTGTAATGAATAAGGAGCCCTTGTGGCACAACGGTTATGTGTTCAGCCACTAACCAAAAGGTTGGCAGTTTGAACCCACCAAGTGGCTGCACTGGGAGAAGGCCCTGGTGATCTGATCTTATAAAGATTACAGCCTAGAAAACCTTATGGGGTGGTTCTACTCTGTCACATGGGGTCTCTGTGAGTCGGAATTGACTAGATGGCACACAACAACAGCAATGAACCATAAGAATATGAACTTAAGAAAACAATTCCATTTACAATAGCATCAAAAGAATATAATCTTAGGAATAAATTAAGCAAAAGAAGTGCAAGACTTGTACACTAAAAACTACAAAACAAATTAAAGAAGAAATAGATATCCTGTGTTCATATGTTAGAATATTTAATATGGTTAAAATGACAATAATCCCAAATTGCTCAACCGATTCAACACAATAGCTATCAAAATCCTAGCTGGTTTTTTTGTTTGTTTGTTTGTTTTTGTTTTGCAGAAATTGACCAGCTGATCCTAAAAATACTTCATATAAAATTGCAGGGAACCAGAATAGCCAAACAATCTTGAAAAATAAGAACAAAGTTGGAGGACTCACTCACACTTCCCAACTTCAAAACTTAATACAGAGCTACAGTAATCAAAATAATGTCATACTGGCATAGGATAGAAATACAGACCAATGGAATCCAATTGAGCATCCAGAAATAAACCCATACATCATAGTCAGTTTTCGACAAGAGTCCCAAGATTGTCTTAAAAGCCTGTGAGCGGCCATCTAAGATACTCCACTGGTCTCACCCCTTCAGGAGCAAGGGAAAATGAAGAAAACTAAAGACACAAGGGAAAGATTAGTTCAAAGGACTAATAGACCACAACTAATATGGCCTCTGCCAGACTGAGTCCAGTACAACTAGATGGTGCCTGGCTACCACCACTGACTACTCTGACAGGGATCACAATAAAGGGTCCTAGAGAGAGCAGGAGAAAAATGTAGAACAAAATTCTAACTCAAAAAAAAAAAAAAGACTAGACTTACTGGCCTGACAGACTGGAGAAACCCCAAGAGTATGGCCCTGGACACCCTTTTGGCCCAGTAATGAGGTCATTCTGGAGGTTCACCTTTTAGCCAAAGATCAGACAGACCCATAGGACAAAATGAGACTAAAGGGGCACACCAACCCAGGGGCAATGACTAGAAGACAGGAGGGGACAGGAAAGCTGGTAATAGGGAACCCTAAAGTCAAGAAGGGAGAGTACTAACATGTCATGGGGTTGTTAACCAATGCCATAAAACAATATATGTACTAACTGTTTAATGAGAAGCTGGTTTATTCTGTAAACCTTCATCTAAAATTCAGTTAAAAAAAAAAGAGTCCCAAGATCATTCAGTTGAGGAAGAATAGTCTCTTCAACAGATGGTGCTTGAACAACTGGACGAGCACATGCAAAGGAATGAAGTTGGACCACTGCCTCACACCATATGCAAAAAATGCATCACAGACCCGAAAATAAGAGCTAAAACTTCCAAACCCTCACTGCAAAGGGTAGAATAGGGGAGACGTGGCCCCACGGTAGCAGCTCAGGAGAAAAGTTGCTGACGTGTTTTAGCTGACAAGTCAAGGAGTCAGCAGTAGGATGGAGAGACCAAGAGATTAGTATGCTTCTCTCCGTGCAAGGCTGAGGCATGTGAAGGTTAATCTCTGGAATTAGAGAGGTGATAAGTTAGCTTGACTCTGTTGGTAAGGCTACTGCTAGGGCATTGTAGAGAGTTGTGTGCACTGCAATGTAGAAGAGCAGGCAGTCTGGGTGTTTTCAGAGAAGAGGGGCCAGGCTTACTACTGTGCCCATGCATCTCTGCCTGAATTCTATGCTGTTTGTGTATGTAGTGGTGCTCTCTGTTTCCCTAGTCAGTGCACGGCACGGATACAAACATTTCCGTTTTGTGTGTGTGCCATGAGGGGAACACGATTGAAGCACTTTGCCAGCGGCTTCCCTCTGTCTGAGCTGACCTTCCCATATTGGCTCCCTCCTTCTGATCCTTCATTTAAAGCCATCGCTCCATCCAGAACGGGCTCTAAAATACCACGTGCTCCCTCCTACCTGAGTGTCTTGACTCATGCATTTTGAACCCTCATTTTTAGTTCCTTCCCCCATTCCTTTATATCTCTCCAAATCATGCCTACCCTTCACTGCTCAGAGGAAATTTCCTCTTCTTCCAAGAAGTTTTCCCTGACCATGCTAGCCCACATCTCTCTTTCTGAGCTCCTTTTAGGTCACTCAGTTACCCCAATGTTAAAAATAGATGATCAATAATGACACTACTGCTAAGCCTAAGCAGTTCTCAGAATGTTGTGATCAATTATTGCTGTATATCCTAGACAGTGGCAAGATTGTCACTCTCAGTTGTTTCTCATTTCCACCTTGGTTAATTTTATTTGCATCGCTCTCTCATTGTTGCTTGTGCATTCGTTCTGTGTCATTAGCCAACTGTCAGATATCCCACAGATCATGGTAGGAGTACTAGGCACGCAGTTGTTCAAGGATGGCCATTACCTTACTGGTTAGACTGACTATTTTATCTGGAGGTGCAATTGTGTGACTCCAAAGCCAGTGTTGAAAATTGGAGCCAAAAATATTATTGAAAGGGCTAAATACTCAAGGCTTCAAAGTGATTTGTACTTTTAGCCTTCTTCTGTCTTCACCTTTACAAAGTTCTCCCAACAAAGCCTTCTTCTCTTGCAGGTCAGGGACCCTCTCGATCTTCCTGATAGCTCAGAACTGTTCCCACCACTGATCCTGCCTGATACCTTCTGTCCTCCTCTGCCTATTCCAAACCTCAGTCCTGTGTGAGATCTAGCTCAAATCTCCTTCGTTCTTGGGAGCATCTTCCATCCCACAACAGCATCTCTCCCTCTTCGTTCCTTGTACATGGGAGGCCCTGTCATGTATTTGGTATTGGGTATTTACTACCTTATGCATTCATCTTGGCTTCTCAGTGGAAAGTAGCACTGGCTCCAGATGTAGCTGGACTTCACACCCAGACTCTCCCACTTAAACCTGGTAAGACACACGTCTCTGAGTTTGCTATTTGTAAGCAATGATGATTCCTGTTTCACACTGTCTTTGTACTGATATAATATATATAAAATTACTGGTGCATCATAACATCTCATCACATGTTGTTTTCTTCCTTCTTGAGCATGAGAACAATCTCTCATCATGTCTCTAGTCTTTGTTACACCTCATCCAAGCAGACCCTGGTCGAAGCAGAGACATGCAGTAAACAGTAACTGATGGGAATGCACAGTCCATTTAACCCTCAGAAGCACTTGGATGAGTTGCCTATGGGCAGATAGTTAAAGAATCTAAAAGACATGCTGTCCAAAGTTGCTGGGCAGTGAGAAATAAGAGTGGCCCAGCAGCCTACACGGACAAACCCAGTCTGCCCTGCCTCGGAAAGTCTTGAGTGACACTGATATTAACATTGGGATAATCTTTTCTGAGCTTGGAATTAGTCCA